TGTTAGGAATTATAATTTAACCGATTATTAATAATGTACAAACGACGTACAAACGATTAAGCACGATAAATTCATAAGTTATAGTTTACGTGATGTAATTGCGACATAGGGGGGGCTAACTATCATTGGCATAGTTACGAAAACTTTGTAATTTTTTTTTAAATTAACGAAAAATGTACAAACGATAAAAATCATAGTACATTCATGTACAAACAATGTACAATCCGAATATATAAATGTTTTTACGATTTGCGTTAGAGGGGGGGCCAACTATATAGACTTATTCTAGAATAGTTTCATGAAAAATATAATGCAACTTTTTTAATTTAAGATGGTATACTAATTTAATGAATAATATTGATCAACTGTTTCAAAAAGAAATAAGTAAGAGTTTCTATGCATCATTAAAAATAAATTAAAATACCTATATCAAATATATAATAAGAGAAAAGTTTGAAATATAATTAAAAACATTATTGTTAAATATAAATTTTGTTGGATATAATATGTTTCAATATAAATAAATGTATATCAATTATTCAATTATCGTCAGATTATTTAAATAATCTAAAAAGTACATTATTAGCGTACCTATCAACAAAATAGTATTAAAAAATTATAGTAAATTCTGTGGATCTATAAATCAGAATCTGCGGATTCGTGAATTTGTAAAAATATTGCTTAAATTTTACAAAAATTTTTACGTTAATATTTTAAATTTGAAAATATCTCAATGATATTCCACGTTTTATCTTAAATGTGTTTAAATAACCCGCTACGTATAACAGCGAATAGTATGGCGAATCATACATAGCAGCGACTCATCCGACGGCGTGCTATACCTCGTAAGATATACAGATCGATAAGTGGTACTTCGTGGTACGCGCTGTAGTCGTACACTGAAAAAAGACATCACGTGTTGATAAGGTTAATCAACAGCGATAACGCGTCGCATTATTCCGTGAACTGTCACAAGCAGCTGCAGAACAAGGTACGTTCCTATTCCTCTGTCAAAGCTAACCGAGAATTCCGAGAAATTTTATTAAAATCCACCGCCACGTCGTACAATATTCTTTCCGTATTCGACGAATGAACAGCTGACGCGACATGGGCGCCGGTGTGGTTGTAACTACGCGCGAACAATCATGCACGAGTGCACACGTTGCACTAGGCACCACTATCTACGTTATTACGAACCGAGTGTCACGAGATAATGCGCGTGTAATGCATCAAATAAAGATCGCAATATCTGACCGAACCTTGTCGGTATTTTTTCATGGTGCTTGAAACGGTGTTTTCATAATTCATAAAAGTTCTCTTTTAGTACTGTGAACATTCATAGTACGCTACAAAATTTTAATGAGATTTTTGATTGAAGTGAATTTTAAAGAGACATCTTTAATGTAAGAACTGATTACTTGCATATTATAACTAAATGAAAAAAAATCTCTATTTTATTTATACATTTTATTTATCGAAGCAGAAAATCGACTTTGAAATAATTATAATTTTTATTGACAGAGAAACATCTTTGACAAACTATAATGGCATCGTTCAATTTTCTCTCATGTATAAAAAAATAATAGATCTACGATCGCGAAATTAGCAACAGATGCTCGATTGAGCTACGTAACAATTTCATAAGGCAGACGCAATACTAGTTTCTCCAACTGATACGCATTTACAAATACAAGAGTCTGACACATGCATCTATATTGAATCTCATCCGACCGCTATTTCTGATCGAACAGATCACAGATAAACTGACATTTTAATAAATTACTTGCCTTTTAATCGCCTTTTATTTAATGATTCATTAATTTAATGTTATTAATGCGTTCTTGCATTCTTATTAAAGAAGCAAAAAATTTTTAATTAAAAAAATACTTGAAATATTCTTTATATGATTATAATATAAAAATGATAAAATTGATACCTTTTCGCGTCGCATATTATTTATTCTAAAATAAGAATTTTATTTATTCTAAAATATAAATTTTATTTATTTTAATATTAAGAGGATGCTGGAGTGCCTGACGAACTCCGACGCGAAAGCGCCATCATTTCGATGGAACTAAAAATGAGAGTGATATTATCGGCATAAATCATAATCTAAGTATGAATGTATTGTGTATGCGTATGTGTGGTACGTGTATATATTCGCATATTATTGTATAGCGCCTCTCTGATATTATCCTGGAACTAATCTTCTGTTATTTTTCATCTGTTATACCGATATTGGACGC